AGCAGCAAGTCCCAGAAAGAAACTTCACCTTGTTTTATTTCTTTTTCCCTTCAGTAAAATCCCATAGTAACCTGTTTTGTATTATTGTTATTTTACTCAGGCCCACCGACCTTGTGAATGTGCAAACCCCACGTAAGGGCTCCAGGTTCTCTAACACTGACTTATCAGGAATTCACTTGGGAAAGGCCCTCACTGCGGTGCATGTGCGCGGAGGAGCTGCGAGTGCTTGGAGCGCAGAGGGGCAGGATGCAGGACTTCTCCCCAAACACAGCGGGTGGTGCTGAGGGCCTGGTTGTACTGGGTCTGGCTGGGATGTTAACTTTCCCTGCAGCAGCCCATAGAGTGCTGTGCCCTGCACTTGTAGCTGGAACAGCGGTGGGATCACACCGGTGCTGTGTCTGGTGCTGAGCGGTGCTGGCACAGCACCACGACCCTTCTAACCCTTCCAAGGGGTGGGCAAAAAGTGAGGAAGAAACATCACCTAAACCAACCAAAGGGCTATTCCATACCATACGGGGTCACGCTCAGCAATAAAAGGTGGAAAAAGGAAGAAGAGGGGAGGGGTGGGCTCTCGTGACAATATCTGTCCTCCCAAACACTGGCTACGTGCGTTGAGGCCCTGCTTCAAGGAAGTGGTCAAACATCACTCATTTGTGGGAAGCAGAGAGTAATTTCTTTCCTCTGCACGTCCACACAGCCTTTACTTTTTTTTTCCCCTTTTCCCCTTTCCCTTTTTTCCCTTTGTTTAAATTGTTTAATTAATAATAATCTTTCCTTAATAATTATTTTTCCCTTTAATTCAATTATCCTTATCTCAACCCATGAGTTGTTCTTCCCTTTACTTCTTCCCCTCCTCTTCTGAAGAGGGGGAGTGAGAGAGAAGTTGTGGGGGAGTTCAGCTGCCTTGCACGGTAAAACCACCACCCTGGCTGGCACAAGGAGGAGGATCCAGCTGGTGGGCAGTGGGGATGCAGCACTGAGTGCTGGTTTGCTCAGGTGCAGCTCTGGGCTTAGGTGCTCACACCAGCATCCTACGGCTGCTGCAGCAGCAGCACAGTGCCCCGTGCAGGGCTGAGCCCCTTGTCCTTTGCAGGATTTCCAGCCCCACTGTGGGAACAGATAGGGTGGAGACACCTGGTCAGCAGAGAGGATGGCTCTTATATAAGTGACTCGCTAACTTCCCCAGTCTTCAAGAAAAAACAAAGTGGCAGCAAAGGAGATTGGAGACTACAGCACAGAAGGGAAGTAAGGCCCCTGCTTGTTTCAATCCAGCTTGTTACAGCAGATGCTACAGCCATCGGCTGTCTCTAATAGCACGGCTGTGGGAGCTGTGCCAGTTCAGCTAATGCTCCCTGTAAGCGGTGATGATCTCTGCATCCAGTGAAGCCTTCCACTCTACAGGCACCTCCAGCAATGGGCAGAAAGCTGCGAGCTCTCACGATGAGAGAAACGAAGCAAAGCATAACAACATCCCAGGAACATAATGATACTTGGCATGGGGGAGGAAGTACAAAGAGGCAGCAGCCTGGAGATTTCAGAAACGGCAGCAGCCATAAGTGTGACCCCAGTGGGCTCCACGGCATGAAGAGTGCTGCCCCTTGCTTTCCATAACAAGCAGGAACGTGCTCTGCCTAATTCTCTGCGTGGGATTTGGAGACAGTAAGAATTTGTTGTTCATCGGTTTTATGGTGCTTCTGTAGGTTCAATAATTCAGTTTATAGCTGTATTGTGCAATTATATTGCTCATCGCCTTTGTCAACAAATCAGGATATTCAGAGTTCTGGCTTGACCGTGTGGGGTTTAAAAGCTGACCAGATAATGAGGACAGGGAAAAGGGATATGAAGGATAATAGTGCTGGTGCCATTGCTTCTCCATCAGTAAGTTCCCCAGCACAGGGACCTTCAAGCACTTGCACCTGAGCCATGAAAACAGGCTCAATCTTGATGGCACCTGGAGGGAAATGAAGTGCCTGGCCCTCAGGCACCCCTCAAATGAGCACCCCGTGAATGGGCACCCCCCATCCTGGGGCTGCAGCTGCCCCTACCCCATGCACACCACCGCTGGCTGGGAGCTGAGCCCAGCAAAGGGGCTAAATGCAGCCCTGCTGCACCCCCTGAGCCAGGGTTTCACTGCAGGGAACACATCAGGTGGCCAGTGGGAGTGGAAACAATCCCCTATATCACTGTGCATCGGCTACATTCGTACTGCAAACCCTGACTTGCAGGAGAGTCCTGTGGGGACGCAGCTCCCACACCGAGGGCAGGCAGTGCTGGAGGAGCTGCCCTGCACCAGCCGGTGCCATCGGGGGCTGGCACCAACAGCGGGTCTGTGTGGAGCGCACAGTAAGGTGGGAGAAGAATACTTATTCTATAAATTCCCCAGGCTTATCACTAACATGATGGGTATTCAAGCAACTTTTTTTTTTTTTTTTTTTTTTTTTTTTTTTAAGTTTCCCAGCTCTCAAAGGCACAACTTGCTTGAAAAACTCTAGCTTCTCTTCGTGTTCTCCAGTCAGGTACTGAACAGATTTAAGAATGGATTAATCCACTCTTGTCATTTCTAAGTTCAACAATGCTTAGTCTACACAACAGACCCCTGGAGAAACAAGGAGATACCAGCCAGCACCTACACTTGCATGTTCCTTACGCTGTGCATGTGATGAGACTGACCTGCTGTGCCAGGGAAGGCAGCTCTGATGCATCCTGAGGGCACGGACAGACCCTGAGGCCAGGAGTCAGCAGGCTCCAGCTGGTACAGTATCATCCTGAGCAGACACACACAGCTCACTGCACCTTTCCTGCCCAGGTTAGGCAGGCCAGCACACAGCGCAGCAGGGCAGTGGGAGGCTGGGACCATCCAAAGGGGCTGAGTAGCGCTGCTCAGAGCTGCTACACTGCCTTCTGCGTAAGGACCTCAAGAGACGGGGGAGATGGGGCACGGAACAGATCTCTAGCTATTCCACATTCCTTAATTATTTCATAATAGCGTCTTTAATGCATCTTAGAAGCTTGGAAAGATTCCTTTCATGCCTAATTGCAAAGCTTTCTGAGAAAGCAATCACTGCTCAGAGGCATTTTCCAAGGATTTTTCTGTCTTTCGCCTTTGTAACATCAGTCAAGCAAACCACTATTCAGCCGTCTCTGTAGTCTGGCTCCTTTTTAACCTCTCCTGTAAAACCCTTGGATATTATTATCCTTTCCCTATTTGTTCATGTCTTACGAGTACAGATGCTTATTTGGAGCTTGCATTAGTGCACCCGCTACACAAAGACGACATGAAAGGAGCAAAGAGAGCAGCTAAGTTGAAAGTCTCTTGGATGGGCTTGGAAGTTATTTGTTACCAAATGAGAAGCAATCTTTCATCTGCTTTCACCTGGCACCGCTCCGCAGCGGTGGGGAGCAGAGGAGGAGGGCAGGCATCCAGCCGCAGGTGAGCAGTCTCTGCCGATGGCTCTGGCTCCTGTCAGATGGGAGAAGGCTCCCCCAGGGAGTGCATTTGAACACTTTATCCCCGTGCTGCAGCACTACAAAGACTCACGCTGAGCAGAGGCATTTTCACCATGTCAGTCACTCCTCCTGGCTTACAGGAACAGTAAAGTCAAGTCTAATACCCCCGCTGCGCGCGGGCGCACTCGCACACGGCGCCAGCAGCAGCTGCGTGCCTGGCTCCCCGGGGTGGCCACAGCACCAGCAGGAGCCTCGGCCACCACGGGCACCTACTGAACGGCCAAACTACGGGAAGAACAAAGCTTCCCTCATGCTCAGGTCAGCCTGGCACCAGGCTGGAGGGAGAGGCAGGGTTGGCTGAGGAGGGGCAGCAAGAGGAGCCTCACGCAGGCTGTGGGAGCCGTGCCCCCGCAAGCGGGGACGTGATGTTCCCCATCCCTCACACCACTGTGGCATCGCAGACCTCCTGGGAGTAAACACAGCAACCATGACCTTTTGAAGCTTGTCTTCCTCCCTGTAATAGTTGTCTCTAATCATGCAGCCGTTAATTGCTTTGTAAGAAGCATGCTGCTCAGCCAGTGGGAGTTGGACACAGCGGCTCCGCTGCCCGGGAGGGTGGTTGTGATCTGTGGGTCTGAGCCCAGAGACACCCCCTGCATGGGGTCAGGCCCCCTGAAAACAGAGGGGTGAAAGGGGACCGGGTTACTGCATCTTACGATGGTGGTGCCCCAAGGGACATTAACTCCCCTCCCAAACTTCTCATTTAACTTAATTTGTCTGCGTTGTGGCTGGAAAGCCAGCTGGTGGTTCCTCAAAGTATTTCATGAGTACTCCTCAAGAGCTGCTGGGTCAGAAGCACCCAGAGAGCCAACCTTGATGCCTGTCCTGCGTGCTCACACTTACTTCTGTGGAAAAACATGGAGACCACGTTCAGTTGTGGTGCTGTCAGGTGTGTCACCTCTCCCCATAAGTAAACTCCATGTCCCATCACAGGTGCAAACACAAGACCAGATCAGGTTCACAGCTCAGAGGAGGTGAGCAGAAATTTCAGTGCGCCCCAGCATGTACCATAACTGTGGGGCCTGGCACTGCTCTTGCTTCAGCCCCTGCACAGGGGCTCAGAGAAGGGGCTGGAGGCTGTGCACCACCCTGTGAATTCTCCTGATCTATAGAAGCAGCGATGGTGGGGATTTTATCCTGATGAGGTGTGGATGAAGTGTGGGGAATTGTGATCACTCCGATAACCCTTGCTGTACATTTAAAACCCAACCTGTAGCATTGCTTTTCCAGCTGCATCTTTTCATAAATGACAGAACAAAAGCAAAAAAGCAAAACACAGGAATTATAAGAATGGCAAACCCACACTGGGTCCTTGCACACAACCCAGGGAAGTTTGATCGGTTATCAGACCATTACCCGACCACACAGTGACAGTCAGACCCTTTAGATTTCCCTGTGATCTGTCAAAAGAGATAGCTGATCTGCTGCTCAAGGTGTCACACACACGCCTGGCACACAAAACCACAGCCGGCACCAGCTATGCCTCTGTTGAAACCACACACAGAAGATACATTGCTAGCAGTAAGGCTGTTACAAATACAAGCTCAGAAAGCCAGGATTTTGAGAAATGTTCTTGGACAACAAACATAGGTCCACCGAGCATTACTGCTTTAAATCTGATGAGGATCTCTTAATGCTCTCTCCCTTCCCCGTCACCACCTGGCTGGGTTTCCTGATGAAGCTGCACAGCAGATCGAGGAGGAACATCCCTGGAGATGGCCATTGCCGTCTGACTCCTGCATCTCCAGGCTGCTCATCAGCTCTGCCTTCCAGGTGCTCCTAGTCTGCCTGGAAAAACCCAAAGGGAAGGCTTTTTTTTTTTTTGGTTCAAGCTTTTTTATTTCTTATTTATCTGTTCATTTTAGTTTGGAAAGGAGACAAAGCAAGGCAAGGCCTCCCCAGGTCCGCAGGGCATGAGGAATGGAGTCAGTGCCAGCCTCCCAACCCTGTCAGCATTGCAACAGCCAGGAGCGCTCAAACATACCATGAATGCCGACTCTTTACCTCCTACGTGAGACCAGTACCACACCAGCCCATGGGCCCTAAGGCAGGAGGGAGCAGTTGTTGCCATACTTTGAGCTTTTAGCCAGGGCCAGCTCCCAAAACCTCTCATTTGTCCAGGAGTTTTCATCACAAATGTGGGAAGCTTCTCAGCTGGCATGCCTTTGTGGGCTTTGTCAGTCACCCTAACGCTCATGCATTGTAGAGCTGGTCCAGAAGTTGAAATAACAGTCGGCAGTGGAATTAGAAAAAAGGGAAAGAACATGGTGATGATATTCGAAAAATGAAAGCATTCAGTCACAAGGCCAGAAAGATTTGCATCAGAGAGAGCTCGGAATAGAAGTGGAGTATCACAAGTTTTGGCCACTGGAGTACTACAGAGATTTAACAACCCAAGTGTTTTCACAGCCAGCTTTAATAGCCAGGCCTTAGCCTCTTTGTTGTTACTCTGTAGTCAAAGCACTTCATACAGATTTTTCTTCTACAAGTCCACCAAGTGCTTCACCTGGACCAGCTCCACGGGTGAAGGTCCCACCAGACTTCACAAAGCTGGTTTTGGAGAACACTTAGTTGAGCAAGATCTGCAGGAAGCTCTCCACTTATATTAGTGTCATCCTTCACCTTGATGATAACTAAAAATAAAGTACTGCAATAATCAACTAGATTGACTAAGACAGATGCAGCTTTTAACATGTGTACTGTAATTAACTTACACAAGGCTAGAAAGCTCCATCTCAGCCTCTTCCCACAGTGGAGTAAGTTTGGCTTTCTAATAATAGGAGCTGGTAACACATGTTGAATTATAAAGTAATCAAAGTTGGTTTTGGCAGGAACAATCTAGATTTGTCGTGCTTCCATTTAATCTCCAAGTCTGACAGGCGCTCATTTCCCAATGGACCTGCTGCTTTGCTCTTAGCTCCTTCTGAATCTTTCTTTTCTGGCATAAGGTAGGGCACAAATTCTTCGTGCGGGGAGGGGAGGATTGCTTTCTCTGACTGTCCTCTTGACAATGCATGTGCTGACTTGCTCTCACTTGCCATATGGTTTGCACACATGAGGTAGGAGCCATACACACACATCGTGGCTGATCTGGATGCACGTTATGTGTGCACACCCACACAAAAGCTGGCGCAGCTATAAACCGTACACTTCGGAGTGGCCTGGCCCTGAACTGTCACATATGGGATTACACAGGGCTGTCTGAGCATCCTCTTCCACTTTTGCAGCCCGCATGCATGCAATATCGTGCAGTATCCTTTCACTGCCTTTCGCTGCTGCTTGCATAGACGTCCCTTGTTATTCTGGGACACAGCGTTGGCAGTAAATGCACTTTCTAGGTTATCATCTTTCTTCAAAAATTCTCTCCTAGTCTCAAGTTTCAGATCGTGAATCTGACCAGCCTTAGCACCTTTCACTGGTATCCCAGACATCTCGGGATCACCTCTGGTAGCACCAGCTCCCTCCTGCACCCCAGACCTCCTCCGTCTATGACTCCTCAGCTGTGCTCTCCTTTCTTACTCCCTCATCCCTTGCTTGGCCAAATTGCATCTCTAGGCAGTGACTGAGCAGGACTGCTGCTCGGGCAGCCAGTCCCTTGCTGTCTTTGATCTCATCAGCTCAGCGAACTTCCACACTAGCCAGGTGACAGGAAGTGTCACTTCGTGTAGGCTAAACCCCATAGTGAACTTTTAATTTGGGATACTAAACCATGGCCTATGCCCTCTCACCTTCTTGGTAGTGTTTCTTGTCAGGTTAAGAAGCCCATAATGCCCTCGCATCTCTAGTCTTGTCACCCTCCCTGATACATCCCAGCGTGTGCAGAGCATCCCAGAGGGAACACCGGAGCTGTCCCTCTTTGTCTCACCACTTCAGCTCAGCTGGATTCACAATAACTGACCCTCATTCTACTTACACATTTGCTGCTTCCATTTCCCTGTGCTCTTAAATGTGCAGAACAATTATCCCCATCTGACTCCCCATTGTGCACAAATAAAATGCACCTCCACAATAACACCTGTGTGCTACTCGTGTGTGTGTACCAACAGCTGTGAAAGTCCTCATTCCTGAAGGGGCATCCCTAAGGCAGAAAAGCTCAGCTGTGCTGGGCCAGGAGCACGCTCACGCAGACAGCCCTCAGCTGCAGAGACTGCACCTCCCAAAGCCAAGTGCTCAACAAGCACCACGTGCAGAGCCTTCAGGTCACTGCACGCACAAGGGAGCACCCTCCCAGCCTGCTGCACCTCCACAGGTTCCTATCTCTGGGGATATCCAGCTTTGCAGACCTGATGGGGACAGCCAGCACCCAAAAGCCTCACCTCAAGTTCTTTCAAATGTTAACTTGGAAGTGAGCAACAGGGAATTTATTCAGATGCAGTTGGAGTCTGAACTTGTCCTCTTTTTTTTTTTTTTTTTTTAATCTCATCTGGATGAGAGAGAATTTTTGCCCATGTCCACAATGTGTAGCCCTGACCTGGCTTCTCCAAGCACCTTCTGCCTCCTCTGACATCTGGGGAGGTGGAGATCCACCAAGCAAACTGTTCCCTGCATGGACAAAGGTACAAATGGTGTTTTCTGAGTGCCTGCTCCAGTGCAGACTCAAATTCAGCCTTGAATTTGCTTTGGTGTGAGATCTAGCCTACCTCTTGCCGCTTACGTGTTATTTATTCTGTCTGGCCATTATGCCTTGCAGCGGTCACTCACAGCACACGTGTAGTGCTGAGAAGAGGCAGTCCAAGAGGATTGGAGGGAGTAAATCAGTGTAGTTTTCCTTCTGATGTATTAAATAAGAAGAAGGCATAAAGCAGAAAAGCATTCTTGTAATGGGAGAAAAGGACACGCGCAGAGACAGAGAGGCTGGCTGTAACCATGTTAACTAAACAAGCCCTGAAGAGTTTACTGTCCCTCATGACTTTCATCCCTTTCTGTTGAGCTTCCTAATGAGGACACATGACTTTGCTTCGCTCTCAGCTGAACTGGAATGACGTGATGCAAATCAGGTTTGCTCCTGTCTGCTTTCTGCATTAACAGCAGCAACAGGGAGGTTGTATCCCTGACGCCCTCATTAGATGCAGCACCACCAGCCCTGGGCAATCTGGTTGCTTGCTTCGCTGTGCTCAGGCACAGCCAAGGAAGGAGGGCTTAGCAACAGGGCCTGAGTGCTCTGAGACCATCGGAGAAATGAGCCCCATGAGCAGACACGAGTTTCTCAACTGGCCCCAAAAGGCAACAGCTCCCTTTGCTGCAGCAGCCTGTGTGCTGGGGAAATAGCCCAGAGGTCTTCTGCTGCACATCAGAGGGGCTCTGTGTGGTGCCCCTGCTACAGCTGCCTGTCCTCCCCCTTCCCCATAGGAAAGAGCAACCTCATGGGGCATCCAAAGCCAGAGGACCCTCTGCTTCCTGATCCAGCCTGCTCCTGTGCTTCCCCAGGGCTTTATTTACAGCTCTGCTCTTCACCACAGATGAGTGCTGTGAACTGTGCTGTAATCCCCTGCAGTTTTCACTGAGACGAGGAGCAACTGCCTCACATAAAAGAAGATGGTCAAAAAATTGGAGAAAGATGGAGAAGTGAGCACACCATGTCCCCACTGCATTGTCAGTACCCAGAAGGTGCCTTTTCAGGTCACACTGGAAACCAAATGCTGCGTTTCAAAGCACAATGTTTTGATTCAGACTAAGTGCATGCACCTAATTAAAACAAAGTGGTGGTAGTTTGCTTGTAGCAGATAAAAAGTCTTGAAGATGGTCAAGTTGCATGGCATAGAACTTGCCTGTTACACAACATACAAGGTGCTAGACATTTTTGGCATCCCTTGGGGCACAACCAGCAGCACAGTACCAGCAGTTTCTGTATTGCAATTTATATGCATGATTTTCAAAAGTTCTTATTTCAATTGAATCAGAGCAAGTTTGCATCCAAACATTTTTACCTGAGAAGTCTTTGCATAAGTAATGCAAATGTAATTCTCCCAACTCTCTTTCAAGCTGGGAGAGGAGCAACATCGCTGTTTCCTCAGGTTTGTGCCTTTGGACAAATGGTAAACCTAAAACGAACTCCAGCCCATCCAAATGGGAGCTAGATCCATAAAGGGAAAAGCTGAAATGGAAACACGTAGCAGAGACCCTGGCTGCTCTGAGTTGGTTTTCCAAATGGTGCCAGGTAGGGAACACTGCTCTGAGTGCTTTTTTCAGTGATTTCTAGAAGACAACCCATACCCGCAAGTGTAATGCACACGTGGTGAATGCCCAGGCAAATGGCCATTTTAACCTTCACCCATGTACTCTAGCTCTTTGTTGTAAGCTGCTGTTTTTCCCTCATGCTTCTCACTGCATGTAAGCAAAGTTAGCAGGAAAGCGGTGTTCAGGAGGCTGACCAGGCCAACGCTGTAGCTGGAGCGTTTTTTCTTCAGTGAGACTCTTCCCCTCCAGTGATTAAGATCAGCAGGGAAAGCCTGCGTACCTGGACCAGAATATTTCTTGGGTGAGCATAGTCAGGACTGGTTTTGGCAGCTGATCCAGAAAGAACCTCATGCCTAAAGAGAGGGCACAGCCCTGCGCAAGCAGTGCCAAGTCACAGCTCACTGGCCTGGAGCTGCAGGGGGAAGAGGCACAGAAACCAGTAAAAAGGCAAGGGAACAGAGAGTAGAGACTGTGCTGGTGGGCTGAACCATCAGAGGTGGCTGGGGACCAAGAACCAGCTCAAGGGCAGGCTGGACCCCAGACAGTCCCATGTTCCCAGAACCAGGGATCTCACAAAGTGCTCCCATGGGAGGGCAAGGGGCAGCTCCCCAGGATGAGCTGGGACAAGGGACTTGCCAGCACCAAGAAATAGCAAACTTGGCACTTGGAAATGCCATGTCCAGCTGCTGCAATGGGATCCCCAGCCTGGAGGGTACAAGAGCCCTATTGGTATTCTCTACCACACTCTCACCCAGGCATAATCATAACCTCTGAATACTTGTTCCAGTGGAATTACCCCTCATGTTAAGATTATAGTGTGCAGCTGTAAATGCAACAAAATTTGGCTGGCTGCTTTTTCTGTAACTCCAAGTTCTCAAAACGCAGTCAAAGCCACTTTCAGCTAGTTTCACTTAAAGAAAGTCTAGCAAACCTGTGAGTTACACACAAAATGCAAGCCATAAACCATCAAAGGTTCTGTTAGAGGGTTGGTGAACTTTAGCAATGCCTTTGATGAAAATGGTCTGAGTTTCAAGTGTGTAATGAAACCCCAAATCATTCAAGTTTCACATGGTTGCAAATATTTCTCACAGTTCTGATCAAAGGTGCATTCAGCAGGGAAGAAGCTTTGATTTTGCAGTACAGGGGATGTGCTGAAATTTTCAAAGCCAGGCCCTGGGATTTAGATGAGCAGTTCTTCTTGGAAGCGATGCAGCTAAACTTAGCAACGCTTAGGGGGAAGTTACATGAAGATGGCATATTTGGATTACTCCTGTTACCCCTAACCCCCTTCCCAGGGGGGACTTTTAATCCCCCACGCTGACATTCAGGAGGCTGCATGCCCCCGCAGTGTGCTCGGGTTCAGCAGCTGCCCTCCCTACGTATCTATTTCTAATGCTCTTCCCTGATTTCACTCCATCAGCTGCCAACATTCCTGCTCCGCAGCACTTCCGAGGAAAAGCTCAAGTGTGTTTTGGGGAAGAGGCGTTAATGCTGCAGGACTAGTTGCTGACCCCCACAGCAACAGGGAGATGTGGGGGCCATGCAGCACAGCTGGGGAGGTTTCTCCAGTGTCTCTATACGGTCCCACCACCAGCCCTGTGCCTCCCTGGCCAGCACCACCCTGGGAGAAACGGGAAAGCAGCTGCATCTTTCACTGCAAATGACAAGACCCAAATCCCCCTGGAGCCAGAGGCATATGTAAATGTCTGGTTTTAATACCTCTGCCTCGCTGTGAAGTCTTCATTTGTGACAAAGATTTCCATAGCAACAGACTGATCTTGCTAGGAGGACTGTGGTCCCCTTGGAAGAGCAGGTGGAAGGAGGGAATAGAGGAAGCACAGCGCTGCTCAGAGAAGTGGATGTAGGTATTTACGTAACCAGAGCACAGGCTTCAGCGCTTCAAAACTCCCCCAAAAGAGTTCACCAGAAGAACTATGCAAAGGGCACTCAGAAGGCATTACACTGGGGCAAACAAGACACAGACTCTGTACAAGCCACATCTCCCCACCTGGAGCACAAGGATCCTGATGCTGCTCTCCTCTGCTGTGGCTCCTTGTCTCCATCAAGGGGCCTGGTACAGGTACCCGAGGCCAAGAAGCAGCTTTGGGTGCTGCAGCCCTCCAGCTAGAGGTATGCAAAGCAGAGGAGAGATTACACACCAGGCATCAGCAGGTGCGAGCTCTTATCGCAGCCCTGCCAGATATTTGCTCTATCCCCAGATCACCCTACTATCCTATTTCTGTCCTCCACAGGCAGCAGCTACTAACACTGACCCACCAGGCTGTTCCATAATTAGCCACAAGCTAATCAATGTTTAGATACTGCTTTTAAATCCTTAGCTACTTGGCTCTATGGCAATGCAGAGCTTTGTCATGCTGATAGATCCAACTCTGTTAGAGCAAAGACACATTGCTGGGCCCACAGATGCTATTTTTCCCGAAGAAAAACCCATTTTACAGGCAGTCTGGCATAATATAGCGATTTATTCCCACATCCAGCTTCCAACCAGTACAAATAATATGCACATGCATTACAGAGCCATCGGCTGCTTCCTAAGAGGTAATAACAGTGTTTGGTCAGAGGCGGCTGGGGCAGCCAAGGACTTAAGGAAGCAGCAACTTTTTCTTTGCAATGTGTTTTGCTTCCTGATAATTTTATTATTTTCACTGAGATATTACAGTAAGTGGCTTGGTAGCACCTTGTGATTCTGACAAATAAATCACATCACAGCAATTTAAGTGCAGAGGTAGCACCTTTGGCTGGCATATTTCACTTTAATGTGTCTAGAGGCATTTATGCAGAAAGCCCTGCAAAGGCAGAGCAGATTCTTTTCCTCCTGTCTATGTAATTCCCTACTCTGTTGTTTTTATCACCCAGATAAGAGGCTACTGTTACAGCAGGTTCAAAGACTAGAAGCTCCAGGGGGAGAGAACAAGATCCAGCATCACAGAAAACTTTAGTGTCTTTGGCTTTAGTATTAGATGACTTAACACTTCACCCAGCGATATCAAAACCCACCCTGCCTGAAATTCAAGCCCATTAAAGCTCTTCATGGTTTCTGAGACAGACAGATGTTTCTAAGAGCTTTTCCTACTCAGATCACTCTAAAGTCCTGAATGATTTCATTTCTGAAGGCAACATCCCTACAAGCGTTACCATTATTCTCTTTACTTTACAAAAGCAAGTAGAGGATGCCCTGAAACAACACACTCAGTTTTTGGACAGCTGATTGAGTTAGCTTATTTATAAATGATTCCTACGTAAAACTGGTCTTGTTCCTTCTACCAGGCAGCATCCACCTACCAGAGGAGCCCTGCTGCTTTTCTCTTCTACCCCTCATCTCTCCCAAAACAGAAAGTTGAGTTAAACAGTACCAGAAAACAACCCCCACAGAAAAAAAACCCTAAACACAGGGAACGCTACATTACCACCCCACCTTGCAAAGCCTTAACGCAGACTTACTACCTCAGCTGTTGTGCCTGCAGCAGCTCAAAAGATGCTAGCCTCCCCATCTCAGAGCAGCACATTGAACACAAAACACCTCTCTCCTTATACCAGCAAACCTACAGGCATTTTAGGATCCAACCTCTTATTCCTCATGAGGGTAAACAATCAGCTTCTTGTCCAATTTGCTGAATTTGATATTTTCTCCCCCTGCATGCAAGCAAGCTGTTAATTATTTATAAGCCTGTCTGTAATGCTCTAGTTTACATGCTGGAATTTACATGATTTATTAAACAAAATAGCATTTAAAAAGAACTCCTGTCATAGATATGTTATCCTTAAAGGAAACCAAACATTTTTTACTTAAGGAAATAACTAAATTAAGGAATTGCTTAAAAGAAGATGCCTTCTTTTGTTTACAGACACTTACCCACTTAAATAAATCATCTCCCTCCTCCCTCTCATTCACAGGTTTTGCGATGAAGTCTCATTAGTTGACTAACCTTTGTGAGTACGTTGGTGTCGCAGCAGCAACTGCTTCGTGAAGAAGATTATGCATTAATCATGAATTCCTAACTGACTGTCTTAAAAAACTGGGAAGGTCAGCTGGTAACTGTACATTGATTAGTGGCCCAGAAAGCACAACAGTGGGAAATTAAAAGGGTATTTGACCCTTGCTAGGTGTTGTTTTTTAACCCAAGTTTACTTACTTTTTTTCCCTACCACCACGAAACTCAGATTTGGTCTGACAAAATATTTCATATTGATCATCGTGCATTTTTTTTCCCAATAAAAACCCTTAAGAATGTTTAAAAAAAAAAAAAAAGAGAGAGAGATTTCATTTTTCTATTTCAATTTTTCTTGAAACAATATCCCATTCAGAAGGAAAGTGCTGCTGCTAGTTCCTAGATGTTATTCATTACAGAAACAGACTGTGATGCTGTAAAGCCTGACCTGTTTCTCACTGGGAAATACTCCATCCCCCTCACAGCTGGACCTTCTCTAAATTCAGAGTCAGAGTCCTGAGCCTCCAAATTCAACCAGCTGAGCAGTGTCTCCTAAGTAGCAATAAAGCTTAATGCATTTAAGGCTGAGTCAAAATGGTTGAAACTGAACTTCAAATAATAAACATATCAATCATTTTTCCTTTATTGGATTACACCTGTATCAATCATGATCTTCACAGCAACCACAGAAACATCGCTACTACACTTCCAACATTGCTTTATGTATCAGTGTCCTTGTACTTGGCTCTGGAGACCTGCAACCTCTAACTCATCTTTTGTCAGGTAAAATGACAGGTTTTAATTTCCTTTCTTGACAAGCGGATATGATCCATAACTGCTAAAACAGTGGGTTCGTTTGTGAATGCAGGGAATTATGTAATTTAGTAGAAAATACCCCCTAAATCCAGTAAATAACAACAATTTTGCTATATGTAAAAGCTAGATATATTCAAATAGAAATAAAGTTCACATTTGGGCAGTGGTGGTAATTAGATTATGGACTCAGGTTACTGAGAGATGGATACGGAGTCTTTGAACTGAGGCCCTGTGTCCTTTTCCAACACACATTCTGCTGCCAGTCACTGGCTTTGATGTAGAAATCCTGGTGTGAACTTTGCTTGCCTGGGTTATCAGGAAGATCAAGCCAGATAATCACAATGGTCCATTTTGGCCTTAAAATCCCTGACAAGCCAAAGCTGTGAATCTGAGTATGAATTTTTTGGCACTGACATTAACATCTCTCTTCTCTTGGGAAGTTGAGCTATGGAAATTCTTGACAGCAACTGAATCAGCACAGCAGCTCACACCAGAGTAAGCATCTGTGGAGAATTCTTTGAGCAAGATTATTGCAAAATATTGCTGTGCGTCATGTTAGGGATATAATCAAGAGGTTTATTCCTTTCTTTTTGGCTGTTGACAGTAGAGGAACGCTCGCAGCCCACTCGCTCGCAGCATGGCTCCCCTCTGATTTTGGGAAGGCTGGAAATAGCCCAACTAATGGAGTGACTCCAGGCTTTTGTGAGAGTGAATGGAGTGAGACTCCAGCCTCAAGGGATGCAAAAAATAACCCATGTTTTCCTTGAGTCTCACAATACAGGAGAAAGATGTGTGTATAATCACAGATAAGGACGTGCATCTATTGTGAGACTCGAGCAGTCCCCAGGTGCATGAGATAAAGCTGTGCCTACTCCTACTCTGTAACTGTCGAACCCAGGCAGGGGCCCAAGAGCCCCTATAGCCTTAGAGGACAAAGGGACACAATGCAACAGACATGACGTGGGAAACAAACCTTACCGAGTGAAGAAATGGGTCCCTCCTGGATTGCAGCATTTGTCAAACCGGAGTGTTGCCACCTGCTTCTCTTCCCTATTTAATGAATATTCCCTGAACAAAAGAAAAGGATGAGCAAATCAGCTTTAGATGAAAAAGAAAAAATATCTTCTGACATCGTCATCTTCTTCCCCTGTCCACAAGTAGCTGTGTTTAGGATTTGTGAATAGGAATTCCCTTTTGAGTGGGGAGTTCCCCTTTTTGGTTTTGTTCCTGCAAAACCAGCAGCAGCAACATGAGCTTCCCCTCCGACTCCCTCTGCGTGCCTGAGCTGTTACCTGAATGCCCCATCTCCTTAACGAGAGCATCTTGGGCTCAGATAGTTCTTGTACTGGACATCAGGGGTGTCAGACAGATCATGATAGCTTATTTGTAATGAATGTAATAAAAAAACTGAGAGCACCGCTATATGCTGATGGCTTCTGAGCTTCCAGCAAATGCCCTGGGCCTGCGGTCAGCAAGAACTCCGGAGAGTCACTGGGAGCTTCTCTGCCAACCCCAGGGGGCATTGGATTGGATTTTTAAGGTGATAACACATCTGCATCCTGTAAAACTCTTCTGTATGACCTGTAGCCCCCAAGAAGCGCTTCAGGAGATGCTCTGCAGGCTCAAACCCTTGCTGATCCAGGCTGGGACTAGGTAGAGATGGGAAAGCTGAGAAATGTGTTTCTCAGTCCTAGACCTCTGACCTTGTTGATAGGTTTGCTCACTTTCTGAACGTGTGGTTTGCATTTATAAGGCTTCCCTCACTTGCAGCCATTTGTCCTCCTCCCTGGGTAGTCAAAGGACCTGTCTCAGGCCGGTTTTATGCAGGCTTTTATTGTCAGAGCCAGACCCTTCCTGCAGCCTCCAGGAGGGAAAATTCTCTGAGAGGTGAGGAAAACTGGAAGGTACCATTATGTCACCTCACACCAGGAGCCTTGAGAGGCCAGCAGAGACCCCCAAGATCAGTGCCAGGTAGATGCCTTTATGAGCAGCCTGTCCACAGCAGGCATTACCCTATCACATTGTTCTACAATGCACACATAAAACAAAGCTACCCTCCTGCTCTGCATGGCTGGAGCAGCTTTCCCCTCAGTGAGAGCACTGAGTTGGCAGAGAGAGAGAGAAAACGAATGCAGAAGTTGCTTTGGACTCCAGCTTCTAACATTGTCTTTGGAGCTGAATCCTCCTCGTCCCTGCACCGTTGGCTTGAGTTTACACAGGGTCTGCTGATTCTTCATCTCATTTGCTTCAAACACGGGATTACGCAAAGCATTCAAAATCAGAAACAACCACCAAAAAAAAAAAAAAAAAAAGAGAAAAAAAAAAGAAAAGCCCTCTGCCATTGAATAAACAAATACAGGCCTTTGCAGGGTGAAATCAATTCCTGTTAGTATTCTGTACATGCAATAGAAGCAATTCTACTTAGCTCTAACTTAAATGCCACTGTATGTCACACTTTGCAGAAACTGATAGTTCCATTTTCAGCGTATTGATCTCCAATTAAATCAATGGTTTTGAGCAAGTCCACCTGTCCAATCCATAGAGCAGATTTGAGATACCCAATCTTCAGCAGGTGTGTAGAGAAAGGGCTGGCTGAAAATGTAATTGGAATTGGAGGAGTCTGTGGTGTGCTGTGCATGTATGCGGCATCTCCAAGCTCCAGGCCAAAAGAGAGACATTTCTTTTGTTCATTGAGGAGCTCGTTTCTGTTCACTGAGGAGCAACCACAGATCCTCCCTAGCAGGAGCTTAGACACAAACAAGGGAATCTGTCCAGTGACAAATATGTACACTGGATGTGGCCAGCAACCTTCTTGAACAGCAGACACTGTGTGAGACCTCCTTTGAAAGACAGTCTTAAAACTCTTCTGGACCTCACATTCAGCAAAAGTATTACGTCAGTGCCAAACACTGAAAGAGCACCACACGCTGAAGTGCTAATATATGTATAAATTTTTATTTTTTTAAAAAAACAAAGCCAGAATCTTCTGTGTAGGATGTGTGTTGACCAGCTAAGCCTGCAAGATCGAGGGACAATATGTCAGGAGTGCTATAGTTAATGCACTCCTGGGACAAAGAGTCATCTTCGTTCCTTACTGAGGAGTGTATTTAGACAAGGGGGATACTGATGTCTTTCCTCAGAAAAAAGTCTGCCTGAACACATATACCTTAAAGTTTGCATAGAGAGTACTAGAATAAAGCAATTTCAAGTTGCTGACATAAACTAATCACTAATATAACTCCAATCCCACACTCACGGCTCGTTACTAAGCACCAGGCTGAATGTGGGCACTTGACACAGCAGGCAGCAGCAATCCCGGAGCCCTGGGCTGGAACCTTTGTGTTCCTGTTTGTTTGTTATTGTTGTTTTAAATAAATGTAGCAAGAAATACCAAAGGCTCCTAATAGTCGAAGCTGCATCTTATTAGAACACAAAAATAATAAAACGGAGCAAGACTAGCAAAATTAACTGTAGTCACACACACAAATCTCCCTTTCAAATTATATCTGATGTTCTGGGTTGAAATAAATTCTTTGCAGGTCCTTCTTTGTCTGTCAGCTCTGCATCTGGGCTGTGAGTTGTTCCCTGTTGCAGGCCAGGAACTTCCCCGTCCATCCCCTAGCCATGCTGATGGCTCTTCATCATCTATCTCCTGTCCTCAGTGCTCTTGGCACCATCTCCAAGCCAAAATGCTCTCAGAGATCTCCACTCCATGCACCAGTATCAAGGACAAGGAGATCAGACAGCCTTTCCCTTCCTGCCTGGTCATACCACCACTTTGGCAGGATGTCTCTGTCCAGAGAACATGAACAAACAGTATTACTATCTGTCCCCTGCAGAGATGCACACAGACCCTCTTCTTACTAGGACATTCTCAGATTACGCAGACGTGACAACTAGAGGACATTCCCATACAGAACATATAATTATAGGGGTCAGCTGAAATTAGTGACAATCTTTAGCCCAGAAAAAGGCCGAGCAATTACCAAGGACCATTTTGGATTCAGGGTCTCTTTCCTAGTGGGAGAACAGAAACACAGTGAACAAAAAACTTGCCTGTCTTGTCCCTTAGGGAGAGCAGGAAAATATACGATGCTTGAAAAAGGACTTCTGGGGATTACATGGAATATCTGTTAAGGAGCAGCTTTCCCTTCTCTGCTAGGCAAACTGGGAATGGAGCTGGTGAAAATACACTGAGGGAGAGGCATAGAGTGCTCTGGAGGTGTTCACGATGGCTGAGTTTTAGACAACATGCTTTTACATCCTTCATTCACATGCCCCTGATGCTATGATGGGTTATATTTATCAAGCTCCTTCTGACAGTCTCCTCTGGACTCTGACCATCAATTCATCTCCTTTCACCTGCTTCCAGTCACCTCCATTTTTTAAGAGCTGTCTGTCAGAGGAACACGTCTCTCTCTTCTGCAGAATTTTGTCACTTCTTTCCTTTTGTGTACAGACCCCTCAGAAGGTGAGATATAAAGTGTTGCTCTGCTCCATCACTAGACCTTTAATCTACTGGGTATAAAGCCATTTCCTGGAATATGAACCCAAGACTACTGTGTCCTAACCTTGTCTCTGTTAGGTCCCCTACAGCACACACAGGAATGAGAGGATGGCTCCTGGTTTCTGTGGACTTATGGGGAGGAGAGTTGCTGGGCTATGACTAGGTGGGCTGATGTGCCACATGAGGTACTCTGAGAAACAGGCAGCCCAGAGGCA